CGCCGGCCCTGCCGGGGCGCCCGGCTACTTGGGGCACTTTCTAAAAAGTTTCTCCTCGCTCTCTCCCGCTCGGCGCGGCCGCCGCCGTCCCCTCGCCGCCCCGCCATGTTAGCGGCCAAGAGGCAAGATGGAGGGCTCTTTAAGGGGCCACCGTATCCCGGCTACCCCTTCATCATGATCCCCGACCTGACGAGCCCCTACCTCCCCAACGGATCGCTCTCGCCCACCGCCCGAACCGTAAGTGCCTCCGCGCCCGGCCCCCGCCCGCTGCCCGCCCGCGCCGCCCGCCCGGCCCCGCATGCGGCCCCTGCCCTGCCCCCTCCCTCCCCTCCCCTCCCCTCCCCTCCCCTCCCTCTCTCCCTCCCTCCCCGCCCCCCCTCTCCGCCTCCTCCCCTCCCCGCCTCCCCTCCCCCGCTCGCGGCCCAGGCAGCCCAAAACTCTCCAAACTTTTCTGCCTTTTGTGGACTGGATTTGTTTGCACTTCGCCATGTTCTTGCTTTCAGTTTGCTGCCTCGTGATGTTGGGGAGACCTTTCTTTCCAAGCAGGGTTTTGTTGGGGGGGCGGGAAACAGAAGAACTTTTTTTTTTTTTTTTTTTTTTTTTTTGCGCTCTGATTCCCCCCTCCCCCGTGGTGGTGTTGTTTGTTTCTTCACCCTGGGAAGATGACTGTGTGGCTCTTTTCTTTTCGCTCTCTCTCCCTCTCCCTCTCTCTTCCTTCCCTCTTCTGTGGCGTCTTGGGTTTTCCCCGGTTAACCCCTTGGCTGCCGCTGCCGGGGCCCGAGTGACCGGGCTGGCGCCCGACGCGCGGGGTAGAGAGTGGATTTTCCTGCAGGCGTTGGACTGGAGAAGTAGCGAGCGCGCGGAGCCCGGGGCCCGGGAGAAGCGCCTCGGCTTTCTCTTTCGGCTGGTTATTTATTTAGCTTTCTAGTGGTGTTCGCTGGCTTTCAGCCCCCCCTCCCCCTTTCCCCTGGAAGGTCACCCCTCCTAGACTGGTCCCACTGCAAACTTGGGGGCTTTGGGATTGCTTTTCTTTGGCAACCCCGCAGGGCCCCGAGCGCCCTGGGCGCGGTGTGGCGGGCTCGGCTGCCCGGAGCGCCGGCTGCGGGCTCTCTCGGGCCGCGCCGAGTGGGGAGGCCCCTGTGACCGGGTTCTTGGTTTGTGTGCAGCCGGGATGGCTTCCTTTGAACGGACTCGATGTATTTCCAGGGAATTTGGGTGCCTTGGGGTTTATAGCTTGGTCTGCGTTCGCCAGCTTCCGAGAAGGCCCTCATTGGGCCCTGGGGGAGGATCAGAGACCAGGGTTTGCGGGCCCAGCGGTGTGTAGAGAGTGCGGGAGCTCTCCTTCAAGGGAGTGGGCTGCTGCTCGCGGGCCACCCAACTTTGGGGACCCCAGGGCGGCACCGGGTGCTAGGCTCCGCGGGTGCTTTCCGCAGCGAGCGTTCCGCGCCCTCTTGACATTTGTTAATAAGGCTCATCCTGTTCCCGGACCGTCCTCTGCTCCCTGCCCTCATCCTGAACCCCGTCCCCCGCCCCCAATCCCACCCTCCTCTAAAAAGCCTGGATTGCCGGTCTCTAGACGCAACCTCTAGACGTTTGTGCCTGGTTTCCAGGGATTGTCATTTTGCACCTTTTCTTGTTTGGGCCCCCTACCCCTTATTTACACACACTATTTTTTTTTTTTTTTCGGTAACTCGAGATAGCAATTTGAAATAATGTACCCAGTGTTCAGCAGCCGTGAATTCGGTGCTAATGGCCGAGGGCTTGCCGGATGGGAGTCGATCCGATCTACAAGTGTTTTTAAGCATTAAAATATTAACTATCAGGTTTTACTTGTTTTTTGGGCCCTGGCAAAAAGGGCACGGGCATGCTAGACCGGTCACTTTTTATGGCTAGGAAAGAGAAATAATTATCCCCCCCCACCCTCCCTTCCCTGCACCCAGGCTTCTGCGTGCTTGGGAAGCTGGTAGAGCGTTTCAGCCCGACCTCCTACTACAGGGCCAGCTCTTTTCAGGCTGCAGGGGCTGGGCTGTGGGGTTGCAGCTCAAGGGGAGGCACAGTCCGGTTACGTTGTATTTTTCTTGGGAGCTTGTGGGCATGCTAAACCCGGAGCATTCGGCTCAGAAACAGAGGGTTTGTGTACTAACCAACCCGACCAAGCAACATTCCAAAGTAACCCTGAGAATTTCTTACTCCCCTCCCCCTACGATGGAGTCTCTCCGGTATTATTTAAAAATCCACTTGGCCATCAGAAAGGCCAATCTGAATATTGAGCTTTGATGGCGGGCTTCTTGGCCTTCTTGACTGTTTTCAAACTCCCAGCCTGACCGCTGGCGATCTTGCCATACTGTCGCCTAAAACTTGAACGGTGGTGTTGTGCTGTAATTAGGAAACAGCGAAATTGTTAAAGGCAAATAAACGATTTCCCGGGGCGAAAAAGGAAGGCTCCCAACCATCGGTCCCCTTTGTGGGCATTATAGGAATAGACCGCTCTAGTTCTTTTAATTGTGGACGTAGCGGGTGGCCTTGTGCTGTGACATCAGATTGAGTAGGAGAGGACATTTCTGAACTCAGTAGGCAGTGTTCGGATTTGCATGTCAAACACCAAGAGACATCTTTGTGTGTGCAGGCCCTTCCTCCTTATCTGTTACCTGGGTTAGATTATGTGCTCCAAAATTAAAGTTATTTATTTAGGCCGGTAAGCAGCGCAATAGACACGAGGACAGGAAGCTGTTGTGTGTCACTCCTGACGTCTTCGATCAGAGGGCCAGCTTGCAATTCTAGATTTCCTACAGCTGCCGAGGGCATCTATAGGCAAGATAGGGGTCTTTTCATGCTCATCTGAAATTCTTCGTGCTTCATAGAGTGTGTTTTTGAGGGCAAGGTATAAAGACAAATTAGCTGTATGCTTTCCTGTTTTCCTGACCCTCCTTGGTGGTGGTGTTTTTGCTACGGTTTCTGTTCCTTATTAGTGTACCTGTAAGCAGCAGCATCCTTTAAAAAGCAAACTCTTTGGATCCCTGATTCCTGCTTTTCTATTTAAGAATGTAAAGAATTAAGGAGTATCATTAAATCAGCTATGATGAATAATACATTATCTCAAGAATAATGCTTTAATTGCTGAAGACGCCATAAAGCTCGATAGTAATAATTTTATTTTAAAGCGACAAAGATTTCTGCATAGCATTAATTTAGTCTTTGATACAGCAATAGGAATGGCTTTTAAAAAGACAGATTCGGATACAAAAATACATGAAGGAGAGAAGTCTGGTTAAGTAGATGGGAAGTGATAGAACAACAAATACAAGAATTGTGGTAGCAGTTGTATGTTAGAGATAAAAATACTGTTAGCATATTCAAGTTGGTAGGAAAAAGTAGTGCCCCATTTCTTTTTCCCTTTTGCCACGCTGAGAGATAGGGCTAGGGTGGTCAGAATTGGAGTTAGGTTTGAGATTTCTTTTTAAGACTTGAGTATGAGAGCTCTTGTATCTTTTATCCCAAAGTTAGTTGCTTTTTAACTGAGCTCCTTGCTACTAGGTTGAGCAAATAAATAAGCAGCATCTTGAATTCACTTTTGAACTTGGAATCCCAGCATTTAAAAGAAACCAAGAGGGGCCTATTCATTGGGGTTTTATGTAGCCGGGCAAACAAATTCTCTTTCTGGCTTGTGAAAAATGGATGTTTTTCCCTCACTCAAACAACATAATCCTTTCTCATACAAAAGATTTAGACCTTAGAGTGTGAAGGGTTAATGGTGGTCCTTTCCTTGGTTGTCCTCCCACCCCCCACCTTCACCCCTGATTGTTTTGACAACACTTTTCAAAGTGTGACATTCCAAGCCCCTACATAACAATGTAATATTACTGTAATTACACAGGTCATTACATTTTAAATAGAGAACAATAAAATGCTTATCGCCCTGAAAAAGAACAGGTGTTCTTTCCCTTCTTTGGTATTTATGCTAATTGTTTTTCATCTCCTTCAGAAATATTTATGGCGAACATGTTTAGATCCCAATCTCAATGCAACAGTATTAATTCTGTGCTAATCTTTATAGGTTGGAGTTTAATGTCTGCAGGATGGATTACGGGCTGAGCATTCACCCAATAAGTCATATTTTAATGATTATAAATTTAATATGCCAGCGCTTCGCAGTCTGTTGAAATTAAAGCTTTCTGAACCCCCAGAAACAAGCTATTAGGTAGTTGGGGGCCTGAAGTGCTTATCTGGAAGAAGTGTTTTTGGAAACTTTGGACTGCTTAAGGGATGTAGCTTTTACTGATGCCCCCTATCTGATGGAGAAAAGATTTGGAAGCAAACAATCCCGGTTCTTGCTGGGAGTTTTCCACCCTGATTTTCATTTTACTGATACGGATTTCATTTAGAGTCCCTGCTGGAAGCTGGTCAGCTTTCTGTTTCTTAGCAAGCTGTGAAAAAGTTAACAGGAAGGTTTCCGGGGGCTGGCCGATCAAGAATGCTGTTCTGTTAGCAGCGCGGGCTATGAGCGCAGATCTGCACGCCATTAAAAAAAATACTTGCTTTCAAAAACTAGCATTTTACTAGTTGCACGAGGGGCTGTGCTTTCAAACCTTACAGTGGAAGTCTTTGCAGGGTTTGAATGCCTCCTCACATCCCACGAGGTACCTGGGTGCATGCAAAAAGTGCCTAGATTTTTCCTTGGTTGAGAAATCCCGGTGCAACTTCTCTTACACGTGCACAGTGGGTAAACTAGAAGGTATCTAAGAGGATTTTACATTTTGTCAGATGTTTCACAACAGGGGCCCCCGAATCACATTAAAAATGCACTGTAGAGAAAGGACAGCTGCAAATTTTTGTGTGGACGCGTGTTTCTGGACCATGACTAAAACTCCGAGGACCTTTTCCCCAGCTGTCTGGAAGTTATGTGGAAGTTGGTTTATTGGCAGTTAAGTATGAGACAACCTGGATTTAGCAGAGGCTCTCTCCTACACAGGAAGTAGATGACATTATATTGGGGGAAGGGACGAGACTGCAGCCAGGGAGTGATTTACTCCCTTTCTTGTTTTTTTAAACCATAGAGTTGCCAAATAAATAAGCACTTTCCAAGGAAGTAGGTGTAAGCTTTTTAGTCTTGGTAAGTGGAATTAGATGATATCTTTGACCGCATTTGTAACTGTTCTAAGGTGACACATTTCAGAAGTTTGGGAAGGGGGGGCGGTGAATCAGATTCTCGGGGCTTTTATTTTTGAGGGGGGTGCGTG